AAAAGGAAATATGTAAGGAGGAATTAAAAATATTGAAATCATAACAAAAAATTGAATTGGATAAAATATTTGGAATAAATTCTTGCAAATAATTATTAGAATTTTCTGGAATTTCTGGAATTTCTTGAGATTTAACAAATAAATTATCAGGATTTTCAATTAATTGACAAAATTTTAATATTATATTATTAATACTATTAAAAAAAATATGATTAATTTTAATAATATCAATAAATAACAAATTTGGATTAATTAAATCCAATTTATTTGCCATAACTCCAACCTATTTATCATATGCTTCATTAAATAATTCAGGTATGTGAATTAAATTATTGGCATATTTTTGATCCCATAAATCTCTAGAATCAAGAATTAATTGCTAAAAAAAAAAATATTATTATTAAATTATTTATTAAAAACATTGATAAATCATGATTTTATATTTTCAAAAATATGATAATCATATTTCTGAAAATAAACACCCCAAAAATCAATAGTTTCATTCTATTAAAATTCTTATAATAACAACTCCCCATATAATAAAAATAATAAAATTTGTATCTTATTTTATTAAATTTTGTAATAAATTCAAATTATAATATATATTATAATTGGTGGGTCATCCTGGACTTTTTATAATTACTTTGTATAAAATAACAACAATTTATTTTAAAATTTAATATAATAATATATAAAATTTATTTAATATCTTACTTCAGGCAATAATAGTTCATGTAATATAACTCTTACTAATTGATCTTGTCTATTAAGAGGCAGAAGTAAAAATAATATTTGGTTTTTATTAAAATTAGAGTTATTCTATTAAATATAATATATAGTATATATTATGTATATGTATATAAATATAAAATATTTAATAAAATAAAATAAAATATAATAATTAGTTATTAAAATAACTTACTTTTTTATAGGCTGCATAAAGATGTGACCTCTGGTCTTCTTGACAATCGCAGGCTGAAAACAAGTTGAAGCAAGGAAGGTTGCACAAGGAAAGGCTTCTGGTCTAACTCCAGTATAAACCCACAACCCCAACTGGCACAACAGACTTCATAGCACCACCTCCTATTCAGGTTAAATGGCTTCCTGAATAAGTTATATCCAATCAGTCAACTTTTCCAAACTGGCACGGCAGACTCCGTATAATACAGGTTGAACCTTACTATCCTATTTTATATTAGCGCAATCCAGATTAGTGATCTAATTGAGAGAGAGTAGGGTCACAAGCCAAAAAGGTAACTGCTAGGAAGGTTTTTCAACTGTTGGACAGAATTTTCCTTACCTTATATTTACAAATAGGAAGTTATAATATAAATCAGGATATAAACTCACCTATTTGATTTAAAAAGTTAGTATTCTGGTAAAAAGAAGTGAATAGCTTAAGTTAATATTAGCAATATATTAATAGACTATTTACATGTAGACAATTGTAATCTTAAGTGATCTCATAATAAAATACATGTGTGTATTGCAACTTGGCCTCTTAAAAAAAAAAAATAAAAAAAAAATAAAGTATAATAATATTATATAAATTTTTTAAAAAAATTTTTGATTGTTTAAAACAATAAATGAAAAACAGATTTTTAGTTAAAATTTTTTAAATATTATAACAAAATATATATTATGATTTAAGAAATAGAAGTTATTTTTAATGCTTTTGAAATGTTTAGTAAATTTAATAAGAACTTCAAGACCATAAATATTAAAACTTTCTTGTTATTGTTATGTTTTCACATATTATATAGATTTTAATTAATCTTAAAATTTTCTTTAATCATATAATACTGTTATTTAAATTGCTATTATTTATTTTTAGATTTTCAAAAAAGTGGAATGATAAAATATTTCAGTAAAATATATTAAAATTTTTTTATAACTTATAAATAAATATATATAAAATAAATATAATATTTTAATATAAAAAAAATATTTTTAATTACAAAAAAAAACTCTTTCCCACTATCTACTTACTTGGTATAAGTTGGTATTTTAATAAAAAGAATGAGTAGTATGTGTTAATATTAGAAATAGTTAATAAACTGTTCATATATAGATAATTGTAGTCTTAATTAATTTAACAATAAAATCTATGCGTGTATCGAAACTTAGCCCTTCAAAAAAAAAAAAAAAAAAACTCTTTTCCACTTCTCTTTTTATACTTGAAAATTTCTTTTTTAAAAAATTTTTGAGTTGTCTATTTTTTTTTTCCACTTTTTTCTCTCTTTATGCTTCTCTTTCCATACTTCTTTATTTCCCTTTCCTTATTTTCTTCTCTTTCTTATATATATATATTTTTTATCTTATACCTCTCTTTTCTTTTTTTCTTTTTTTTTCTTGTCAAAGCTAGATTTTCTCTTTTTCCTAAAGGTTTTTCTCTCTAGGCTTCTTTTTCTTTTGAAAACTCTGTTTCTATAACATTACTCCTCTGGCCAGTCAATTCTCTTTTCTTAAGGATCATATTAAGAAGCAGTAATTTTTCTTAAGACATGGGCTTTAGGAAATTTTCTCTTTTTCATGATTCCTCAAAAAAAGAATAGATGACTTATTCTCTTCAAAAGATCAATATAGTTATTATTACCAAACTTGATGTTGTTTATCAATTAGTAATTAGACTAGATATGTCCAAGAAACCTCTGTATAACTATTATTATCCAAAAGTACTCAAGAAGTTGCATCCTATAGTATCCAAAGTAAAATAGCAGCCAATCCAATGCAACTACTGTATACCACTGTATACAATATCCTGGATATTAATCAATTTACCTCCTAATAAATTGATTAATACCTGGGGGGTATTTTACTAGAAGGGGGATAGTATTAATGGCAGAATATATCATTATTATAAAATTCAAAATATTATTGTCTTACTTATTATTATATTAATATATCCAGGTAATAATCAATTATCAAGCAACAATTTTCTTGAATACTATCCAGTATTATTAGTGGGGGTAATATTTGAGGAAGGGTATTGTATGCAATGATATATGATAGCAATAAGCTAGATTAGTTGCAGATATCATACTAATAATTGGAAAACTTAATAAGCTAATACATAATGACTAGGGATTCTAGTTACCTCTGAAAATGAGCTGGTGACAACAATAAAAGTTCTTTACTTACTTCTCAAACAATGTAAGTCTATTGTACAAGGTTAAATTCCGGTACCATTAAGAAAACAATATGAATTCTACTCATAGGACACTTTCATTATACTTGAAACATGGGTATGTCAAATCTTTTTTGTGACTTGGAGGCAAACCTGTATAAAGTGGTTGCAGTGCCTTCATACAAAAAGATATTTACTTCCTACCACCTTCAATACTATTTTGCTTACTGTACATCAAGTCATATTTGAAAAGCAGGTGTATCAATTCTAATTATGACTTAGAGACCAACCTGTATAGATTGGCTGCAACATCTTTATATGATTAGATATTCATTTAATTTTAGGTAGCTAGATGCTATTCAAGACAATAATATAGGTTTTTGAATTTCTTGAATGATACCAAAAAAATACAGAAGTTGAACACATTTTGGAGTCTTGTGTTAAACTCTTTTTAGCAAAGAGAGATATATGCCATGCTATTGATATTGTATCTTGTTTTGCAAGTGAAAGTATAATAAATAAAATAAAGTATGATAGCTATTTGTTCTTTTCAAAATAATAATAATAATAATAATAAAATATTCTTAAATAAAAATTTTCAATACTATTTTATTTATTGTATATCTAATTATATTTAAAAAGCAAGCATGTTAATTCTAATTATAACTTGAAAGTAAACTTGTATAAACTAATTACAATATCTTTATATAGTTAGATATTTACTTTTTCTAATTAACTAAATACTATTTAAGACTATAATATAGATTTTGAACTTTTTTTTATTATATTTTTTAAATGATACTAAAAAATATATGGTATAGTTATTTGATCTTGCATTTAATTCTTTCTAATAAAAAGAAATATATATTATGCTATTGAGATTATAATCATGTAATTATAAATTTAAAATTATAATAAATAAATAAAAATATAGTTATTTGTTTCTTTAAAAAATTTTTTTTATTTCTTATAATCTTAATAGTTATATGGATAATTCATTTTGAAGGTAAACAAGGATTTTTGACTTTATAATTATACTCCTAAATTTTATATTGTATATGTATTGTTCAAAAAATAGGAATAAAAAAATCGTATATAATATTTTGTTGTTTTAAAAAAAAACAAGCTATATTAAAGTAACAATAACTTTTTAATTTAAATTAAGAAATATTTTTATACAGTATATTGTCTTTTTAAAAAAAACAATATTTTTTATTTTTTATAATCTTATTTATAAAGTTAAAAAATTTAGAAAGTCTAAGATAATTAATATCATGCAGTAATAACTTAATGAACCAGCATTCTTATAATAAAATAATTAATAAATAGCTAAATCATATACAGTAGATAAAATAATAATCTTGATATTAAGAATTCAAAAATCATGTGCAAAATCTATTAAACTTATTAATAAGTATACTGCAACTAGTAATTATTTAATTATAGAATAATATTTATATTGTATTGTTGTATTTTTGATTGTAAAGATTAATAAGGGATTTTGGCTTGCAACCTAATTAAAAGAAATTAATAAAAAACTATATAACATATATAAAAAGTCCGTAGTTAATTGTCACCTTTTTTTGCAATTCCCTTATACTGTACTGTAAACTTCTTCATTTATTTAAATGTATACAATCAGTATATTCTTTAAATTATTATTTTTACATAAAAATTTTTTTGATTGATATTATCTTAGTATACCTGATGATATCATTATGAAATGATATTTCTATATGAACACTTATCGACGAGATGAAATTATATTATTTTTTTTATGTCGCTAGATAACATTCATTAATTACTCAAAATTTTATTTTTCAAATTGTTCCTAGGCTGTAAAGGGAAAATGACAGTTAAGTTCTTATGAAGATCACTCTTTTTTCGGTCTTGCTTTCTGAACAAACGGAATTTTAAGAATTACTATTATAAATATAATTAACATAGACAAGGCACCCAATCCATAACACTTTTCGGAACCAGTCATCCAGTAAAGTCCACACGCAGCAATAGGCCCTGACGCGCGACCCAATTGTCCAAATGATCTGAAATTCCCCAATGCTTTTCCTCTAGCTATTTCACCGCCGGCATCCTTCGATTTTTTTAAAATATCATCGTTCTCAGGTGTAACCTGTTTTAAAGCACCGTCCCGCCATTCATCACCATCACCATCACCATCACATTGCATTGAAGCTATGGACGTTAAACAATTTACCACAGTGGCTGATGTAAATGATAGAAAAGTTGCACCAACATAAAGCCATAAGATTCCGTTGGGTAGACTGGTTAGTGAAGCTATAATTGACAAAGAGATCGCACAGGATAGTACACCTTGAACAACAAGCTTTTTCTCTCCTACTTTATGCGCCACACGCCTAACATATCCACCTTGAATTATGGCCGATAATATTCCTATATATCCCAGTAATTTACCATTTTGCATATTGGTGAAATCAAATAGGTCAAACGTTAGGAACGTAAGAGTGAATTCCATTCCCGAAAAGATAAAGAGATACACAAGGTGAATCCAACTCAATATAGTTAAGTTTTTCAGACGCTGTTTCATTGAACTGCTCTGAAGGGTGTTTGAGCTGAGATCAGAATCGGCAGAACTTTCTTTGGAGGTCTTAACTGTTTCTGGCAAAAACAGGTACAAGTATAATGTTTCTACACAAAGTAAAAGAAGGGCAACCAGTGCCGGCATTGAATAAGGGTTCAACCCCCATTCAACAAGTTGTGGAAAAGTATTGGACAGATCTACTGAAGCAAAAAAAGCACCGAGGGCAGGACCAATCGTGAAAGACACGGCAAAAGCTATTCCTACTAATGCCTATAAAATTAAAGAACCATTGATCCAACGAATCTCGGATAAATTAGTTCCCTATATTTTTGTATCAATTACGAAACAGAATGCTTAATCAATCAGTGATTGCTTTACTAACCAATCCTTTTGATCTAGTTTCTTTCGTCGTCACGTCTGAGACTATCGCAACAGACAATTGTACATTACCTTCGCTTAATCCCCCCACCACCCGTGATAATACAAACCATCCAAATGATTTGGAGAAAAGCCATATAAATGTCGATAGTATATTTCCGATCTACATCCAAATTTTGAATTAAAGCGCTCGTTTGAGTTGTTGCATTTGGTAATACGAAAATAACGTAAAAAGCTGCGAACCATGGTAACTAATAATGTATTCCTCCTCCCATATTTATCTGAAAAAGTTCCTATAACTGGTGATGCTACAAATTGCAAGAAAGAATACAGAGATCCTAAGGCACCCCCGAGAAGTACTAAATCCCATTTAGGATTGATCCCTCCTCCAGTGAATGTCCTAAAAAGTTGTATTTGATGGAGGAATAAACTTAACAATGTGGTCTAAGGTATAAAGTAAGGATTTTAATAGACGGATATGATATTCATTTTAGTGTTTGCAGGAGCTTCATTGAAATCACCTCATCACCCTGCTCTCTTTCTCGGTAGTCCTGCAATAATCTGGGGAAAAGTGGAAGAATGATAGTAAAAGCCAAGATATCTAACAGCAGTGCAGCAAATACCACGCGAACTGTTTTTGTTGCTAGGGAAGGTACTTTTTCTTTCTGATTAGACATCATGTATTCGACTCTTAGTTTGTATATGTTCAAGATGAAATGCTAATACAATTAATGCTTTGCATTTAATTACTATGTATAGAAATTGATTATCGCTCTGATCAGTCTAATTTTAGATACGAACTGGGGCACTTATTTTCTACGTTATCCGGAATGATTGCACTCTTTGAAAATTTGAATAAACGTCAACTCGAATTAGAAAATAAAATAACGCAACTAAAAAACGTCATTATCTTTTCTGTCCAACAAGAACTTTCAGCCGAGATCAGAGATGGAATTAAAGAGCTTGGAAAGCTAATTGATGTAAGGCCAGTCCAACAAAAAGAAATAATTTATATTCCTTATTAAATCGTCAGAATATGTTTATAAAATAACAGGATATTAAACAACTGGCAGATGAGCAGGAAAAGGAAAAGGACAAACAACAGATCCTACAGCGGCTACATAGAAATGAGGAACAGTATAAGCAGTAAGTGACTAGGCATATTCTTCGTATTTTGAAGAAATCAATCAATCATTAAATTGGTATTATGATATGGTCGATGTAGGTTACAGGCGTCACTGCGAAGAGCTATATTGACCTCTAAACAAAACATTGAAAGGGAAGCCAAAATAGAACGCGAAATGCTATTAGGACGCAATGATGGACGAAATCAAGAAGTTTTTGAAATGCGAAGACGTAACTTCACGTTAGTGATGCATTGTCCTTGTGCTTCACAATTTTACATTACCTAAAATTCGGATCATCCAAATATTTGCTTTAGTTCAGAAGATTCACTTTTGCATTCAGCCAGTGATGTTACAGAATCATTACGACGTACCACACAGTTGATGCAACAAGAAATTGAGCGCAGCGCTTATTCGGCAAAACTACTTGGTCAGTACGATTATCTTCTGTTGATCACTTTATTAAAAATGATCTGTTGTTTAATATATGTGTCTTGTCCTTTAATTAGACGAATCATCCAGGACACTAAAGTCGACATACAATGAATACCGAGGTTTCAACTCTGTTATTCGAGGATCTAAACAATTAATAACAAAGTTGGAACAAATTGATTGGACAGACCGATTACTCATATTGTTTGGCCTATTCGTGTTTGCGCTTGTTGTGTTCTACATTCTGAAGAAAAGAATATGGAATACTGGCTTTGGATGGATATCTTGGTTCACTTCTTGGGTCATTTAGAATAGGGATGATCGATGATACTCGGAAGATGAATTCAATATTGATATTTGATGTTTACATATCAAAATAGGACAATGTTCTTGAGTTATTCGATGCAAGTAATTATCCTGGACCTAATTTCCGATCATACGTAGGATGAAGCTTGATTTTCATTGTCAATGTTAGTAACGAATTTGTTGGGTGACATACTTTATATATATATATATATATATATATTGTGAGCACACACAAAGTAAAAAGCAATAGGCTTAATTCTAGTTATTATTTACTGTTTTAACGTGAAGTCATATGGATATCTCAATACATATACCGTAATATTACTATTGAACATAAGTGTTGATTAAAGACGCAGAATTACAATTACGATTATGTTGTACCATCAATTTTATTACCTTTTAAATATAATAATTCTCATCGCACCACCTAACAAATCTTAAATTTATAGACCTGTTTTAATTAAATAATTCTAATTTGTTGAAATTATTAAAGTATAATATCATAATTGAATTTGCATATATGGTTCAACTCTAAAGCTCAAAATACGATCCAGAACTTAATTAAATAATCGATTGAATAGTAAAAATTAAATTATTTGAAGAATAGATTAATTTTATATACAGTAAAATGATAAATCGACCATGGACATCGATTAATATGACTAAAGGATCCTCGTTAAATATCTCAATAACAAAAAAAGTAATAATAAAATTAACATATTTGGATTGGCTTATTCAAAGAGTGATATCTCAAAAACTTTATTCTCATTAGTTGAAATATTTAATACTACCGATATATAAACAAATAGTTTAAATATTTATCAACATATAAGTATGGCTTATTGACATGCATTTATTTATAATATAAAAATACAATGTAGAATGCTATATATGTTATAGGATGCAAGAACAAGATGCGTTACCTTTGCTAACACCAAACTATTTTCGACGCTACACCCATCAAATTCAATATTTTTCCCAACTCTCGAGGTTTGATATTTTCGCGGAAGACAATTTCTTCCGTATGATGTTTTCCGTTAAAATATTTTATCAACCTTGAAAAAAAAAGAAAAAAAGATTTAGATATTAAAAATTTTGATCAACGTTCGTAATGGTGCTTAATAATTGTGATAGTATACTTTTCAAACAATGTCGCTTGAGCCTCATGGGTCACAAATTGCTTTAGCCATTCCTTCTCAACCTTCGTTGCTTCTTCATAAGGCGAGATCAATGCAGTATCACCATCTATCACCCCGTTAATATCTTCGACATTAGGATCATCGCCATTTTCGCGCAAATTCTTCTGTCTCTCATATTCTTCTTTCGTCAAACCCTTCTTAATATATTGCGGTACCATAAAAAAAACGTATGCGTGCAGCTGTACCACAAATTCCTTTCTTAGTAAGAAAGTTATGGCCTCGAGGAACATTGCACGATTTGCTTTGAACACATTGGCGTTTATCAGATATGGTTTAGAAGAAGAAAGCGCAGAGAGTATCTTCACGAGATCCAAATCCGCGGGAAAGTGTTGCTTGAAATATTCGACGTAGGTCGGCAACCTTTGTTTCGTTTCCCCATTGAAGCAAAAATCATAATGGTAAAATAACAACAGTTGATGGAAGTGATTTTGAATAAAAGCACATTGGCTCGGACAATTCAACAAGTGTATGATTCGATCTCGATCGATAGCATAGCTCACGTAATGGTCAATGATTATATTGATCTTTCCCTGCAAGTCTCTCCACTTGCACCCACTTTTCAGTCTACTGAAGGTGATATGACCGGCCACGAATATGATCATTATCCCATAATAGCCCCCTATCACACTTTATTACTTCTTGAAGATCCAGAGGAAATTCTAAGGAGCATACCAATCGACGCGAATCCCACGCTAGTTAATTTGATACAGATATTGACTCCTACGAAACGGTATGGCTTGTAAGACATTTACAAGAGAAAGTAACGTGCGCTTACCAATATCATTT